TTCTAGTAATAGTTATCAGTCTAGATATTCCGAAAATCACGATATCCTATAACATCAAACATTGTGCTATTGCAATTCCCAATTCCACACAGCGACCACCGCATAATTCATGTGTATTATCAAAATATTATTGTGTAATTGTATACCTAAACCAAAATGTGTGACTGCTCTCATCATTTTATATGCACCGCGGTAGACCGGTCGAAGCGCAATTAATAATCTTCGTGGCTTCAAAGCAGAAGCCTCCAATAGGCATTGAAAATTTCAGTAATGAGCTTGTAGCGATAAATATGATGAAAAACTTGTTAGAGCACTAGAGCAATTCTGGGCACCTATAGGGGATTTAATATTTTTTAATTAACGCGAGTTATTAATGCCCCCGAGAGTTTCATATATTAATAATCCCGGAAACGTGTGGATGGAAAAAGATCCACCGATTTCAACACCTGTATTACGAAGGAAGGCAGGGAAATAATATGTCTCCATTGTGATCATTAAAGGGTACTCACCATCAAACTGGGTAATACAATTTGGGAAAACTAATTATGTAACTGCAATTCTCGCAATGAATAGAGTACACTTCCACTCGAAATGCTAGCGCTACCTGATGCTTTCGAGAGTATTGAGAGGATACAATAATATAGTGAACTGAAACTGGGGAGGTCTCCGCTGTTTTTTCAGTATCAACCTTCCCACAGAATTCTCTTTGACTGTCTGACACAACTTGATTCAAAGATGTCAAAGGACGTTCCGTCAGAGCACCCTCTTTATGGTTTATGCGTCCATACTATGGAAGGAATTCTTGTAAATATTGTCAATGATAAGGAATTTTTTTCTGGACACCGAAATTCCATCAGGCTCAAATAATTGGATATATCTGTTGGTTGGGCATAGAGAAGGAAAGAGCACTTCAGGTTATATTACTATAATAAGAACACACAAGAGACTATTCTGCACCGCATCAAAGCAGAGGAAACAGACGTTGGAGACTCTCAATCTTGAAAGTTTTATAAAGTTGGGAGTTGGAAATAACTCTACAGGGGGTTAGGTATGCCTAGTGCGCATATGATTTATTTTATGGCAATAAAAGTTGTTGCGTCTTCGAAGATCAGAGTGTACCTGCTTTATATCTATAACCAACCAGATGATTTGTGAAATAAACAATCTAACCTGACCCTGTAGAAAAAGTGTAGAGAACCTACAGATGGAGAATTTGAGATTTCTTGATTTGATTTCGTCAGTTTGCTTGACACAATTTCGTTATTAGGTATTAGCATCTGTTTTTCAGGCGTCACGTTTCGTGTTGCCTTGCAATAACCGTGAATAAAATCGATAGGTTCTTTCCTCACATTTTTTAGTACCAACCACTGATCACCTTACTACCAGATGCCAAATCTTGTACCGCCTTGAATAGCAGTTCTTAACAATGAGGTCAACCAACTTGAAGAAAAACCTATTCGAAATTACTTAGGTGCGAAGATGAACGAAATGAAACGCAGAGAAAACAATGTACTTTTACTTGTAGTGGCTGAAGATGCTGACACAAAACTATAGTGTGCCTCGAAGTAATTGAAAAAAAGTTATAACCTCAACACGAAAAATTTACAAATCTCACGCTTAGGGAAGAATTTGAAAGAAAAACCTCGTCTACTGAAAATTATTTTACCCAACCATAATGATGTTACCGATCTTCTTAAAGCCAACAGAATATTATGTACAGAGCAAAAATTCAAAGAAATTTCAATCAGAGGAGACTACCATCAAACAACGCAACAATTACAAAAATTTTAAACGCGAGCTCGACATACACGACTGTAATAGTGGAAAAACCAATGTATTCTTCGGATACAGAAATGGAATGCCGACTATTCTGCGAAAAAACAAAATAATACATCCAGCAGATATTCCATCGACTTGGTCAAACTAAGTATCCTCTATCAAAATTACAGAATCTCAACTCTAAAACCCATTCATTATTCCAGATTTTTTGGGATTCTCTCTCCTCGTTTCTATAAAATAAAAATATGAATATTATTTCAATATACGTGTACCAAAATGTCACTGCGTTAAAAGAATTTTCCTATCAGAGAGCCTAAGAGAAAAATTCACCAGCCTGTCAGTGACAATTTGTATTGAAAAAGGTATGAAGAAGAGAAATGAAGGTATATAAAAAAATATCAAATTTTCACTCAGCTTGGGACGTTTCGAGAACGAATTTGCACCCGTTTTCAACATAAAGAATGGATATTTGTATAGCAAATTCGTATTCGTCTTGATACTTCTCAGGTTTCAGTTACAATATGTATAATAATATGCATTATTTATTTTAATTTAAAATGTCCAGACGTTTCGTCCATAATCCGTAATAATATCCCAAACAGCACAGAATATTTTACTTATATTCTGACAACGTTCAGAACGTTGAGAGTAGGTTCGATTCCCCAGCGGGGAAAGCTCATCTTTAATTCTATTCATTTTCCTATGATATACCTATTATAGGAATGATTTATTTGCAGCGATTGAATGTGCGCAAAATGCTTTGGAAAGGTCATGTTGTATCCATGAAAAGGCTTTCAAAAAAACAGGGAGAATGTATTTTTGTGACATCCCAAGGATATCTTTATAAACGCCGCCTGCGGCAGACATTGGCTGTTCTATGAAAGTTATATTCATGTGTAAACAGAACATCGCAGTGGAGGTTCAATGTCTCGACATCTCGTACTTCTAACATCTCTGATATGTTTCTGTGCTCGCTGGGACCAATCTGTTTCCACTCACATCTAATGTCCTGTGACTCCTCTGGTATCTATAAATATCGTGAGCGTAAAGGCTGTGACACAGTTGAAGTTTTATGTTATTAGTGTTAAGTTTTATAATTTAAGACGTGAGTATTATAAAATGAACACACAGGTCCTTGTGGCGAACCACATCGTGAATTTGAAGAAAAAGTCGTTGATTGAGGTTTTGTTAAAATAATATAAAAATAATGCACATTTTCATGATTATATAATAACTTCAATTATACCGATATGATCGAATAATCGTTTCTGGTCACGCCCCTCAAACAACCTTATTGATGAAATTCCAGCCTTTATATTTAAATTCTGTTTTGGCATCCAGTTTTTATTTTGATAACATCTATATTAAATCTTCAAACTTATTGCATAAAACTTCAATTGTGTCGCAGCCTTAAGAATATCTCTTGCAAGTATAATATGATCATTAACATCTTGCTTGTATATGTGCCATCAGGCACCTCCTTCAATGATCATTGATTGATTGATTGATTGATTGATTGATTGATTGATTGATTGATTGATTGATTGATTGATTGATTGATTGATTGATTGATTGATTGATTGATTGATTGATTGATTGATTGATTGATTGATTGATTGATTGATTGATTGATTGATTGATTGATTGATTGATTGATTGATTGATTGATTGATTGATTGATTGATTGATTGATTGATTGATTGATTGATTGATTGATTGATTGATTGATTGATTGATTGATTGATTGATTGATTGATTGATTGATTGATTGATTGATTGATTGATTGATTGATTGATTGATTGATTGATTGATTGATTGATTGATTGATTGATTGATTGATTGATTGATTGATTGATTGATTGATTGATTGATTGATTGATTGATTGATTGATTGATTGATTGATTGATTGATTGATTGATTGATTGATTGATTGATTGATTGATTGATTGATTGATTGATTGATTGATTGATTGATTGATTGATTGATTGATTGATTGATTGATTGATTGATTGATTGATTGATTGATTGATTGATTGATTGATTGATTGATTGATTGATTGATTGATTGATTGATTGATTGATTGATTGATTGATACCAGTTAATCGTTCATTATAGGAGACTCCAACATTACAGAGTTCCAAGATTATGTAACAAATAGACGATTGAGCAACTTAGTTAGGAGATTTCTAATGTTTATCAATTTTTGTGACCTCTCTCAACACAACCAATTTAGCAACCACAAAGAGAGAATTCTTTATTCTGTTCTATCGCCTATAAATATTAAATCTAATGTTGCCTTAGAAATGGAGCTATTTGTCTAGAAATAAACTGTAAGAAAGGTTTTGACTACAGTAAAATGGAGGACGAACTTTTCGCATATACTCAACAATATTATTTGGGCCATATTGGAGAAGTACGGTGATGTCAACTTAGCTTGTAGTACTTTTAACGATATCATACAATCTATAATTCCGGAGTATACACCATTAGCGAATAAGAAATCGAAAAGATTTCCTTCATGGTATACAAAAGATCTCACTAACAAAAGCAATCTGAAAACCCATTATCTGAAAATGTACAGCAAGCGCTAATGCCAGTATTATCTTGAGAAATACATAAACTGAAGAAAAATTGCCAAAAGAGAAATAAACATAGCTAATAAGAATTTCATTATTAACTCTGAAAGCAATCTGGAATCCAATACGAAAGGTTTTTGGTCGTTTGTTAATTCTACAAAAAATTTAAAGAATAATAATAACAAAAACATATGTACTTTAGATACACGCATAGCTCAGAACGATTGCAACAAAGCATGTCTATTTTTTTTTAAATCGGTCACCGAAGCCGAACCGGGCAGCTAGTAATTTATAAAATTCCTGAATCGAACTGGGGGAACTGCTTGAAATGATCATTTCATAAAAATGAAATATTTCGAATTTGAATGTGTCAATATAGATAACTCTATAAGCTTCAAAGATTATTTACTTGACATCAGTGACACCAAAATGAGTTTCAGGTAATTCATATTATTTCGCATTTCGCATTTTTTACGAATAACTGAACATGCTTATAGAAACATTAGAATCATGAACAATAAAATGAAAAATTGCAACAATCAAATGGTTTCTAAAAGAAAAGGGCAAAAATGAATGTGCATGAGAAGAAATCTAGGAAAATCGTGATTCATGTAGGTACCCGAATTAGTCATTTGTTTCAGGATTTCCTGAACATTTTGTCGAAAGTATCCCGTGGTAGTGTCAACGAAAAACTGCAGTGGGTCTTCAATTTGTATGACCTCAACGGCGACGGCCTCATATCGAAGGCGGAAATGTTAGACGTAGTATCAAGTATCTATGAAATGCTGGGAAGGGCGACTCAACCAGCTGTGGAAGAATCTTCAGCGAAAGAACACGTAGAAAAAATATTCAATGTAAGTACAAAATACTCAGTATAAACAGTAAGCAGTGGTACTTGTGAATCAAGGATATTCTGTAACATTTGCACAATCCATGTCCTAACACTCCTAATTTAACTTAACCTAAAACCCAATTGTTTACCATATCTGTACCTTTGACTTCTTCGAATATGTTTGTTTTATGACTTTGATTATTATAATATACAGGGTGCCCCAAAATGGTCTGTACAAAATCTCAGCACACATTCCTTTATCGCTTGGAGCGCACGAAAGGAAATCCCTATAATGTTCAAAGAACATCGTGCGTTCCTAGGGAGGATAGGGACAGGAGGTAGGTATTGGAATTTTTTTTGAACTTCTGGAGATTATATGTTGTTGGGAATACTTCCTCAGGCAATGAATTCCAGAGCCTAGCCGTTCTATGGATGAAGGAGTTTTGATAAAGTGCTGACTGGGCTTGTCTAGTTCGTCTGACTGGTATTGCTAGTGAAGGGATGATAGCAGAGATTTCCGAAGAACATTTCCCGTGGAAGTATCGATAGAAAAGTGAAAGGTCGCCGACCTTTCTACGGTGTTCCAACGATGTCAAAGAGTGAGTGAGTGTGGCGTCACCCACCAGGCGAATGGCTCTTCTCTGGATGGAATCTAAGAGCATCAGCGTATGTTTTGGTGCTGAACCCCATATGTGGGAACAGTATTCTAGAACAGGCCGTATCTGCACTTTCTAGATCATGAGAAGCTGTTGAGGTGTAAAGCAGCTTTTCGCACGGAACAAGAATCCGAGTTTTTGTGAAGCAGCTTTTGCGATGGATCTGACATGATTATCCCATGAAAGAGTGTTGCTGATGGAAATACCGAGCATAGATATGGTGGGCTTGGTGGGGATGTTGGTGCCAGACTTCGGGCATACTGAGTTCCGCCTTTCTAGAGAAAATATAGGCTTGAGTTTTGGTGGCGTTGAATTCACCTAGGTTGTTGGTTCCCCAGGCTGTGATTTCAGCAAGGTCTTCATTGACAGCATCGACCTGCCTGCGCCGTGAGTTCTCAGTTTCCTAGGAAGAAATGGGAATTCTGGAAGAGAACGCAGTATGGAGGGTACTATCATCTGCAAAGCTGTGGATGGGGCAAGTTGTCACTCCCAACAGATCATTGATATGAAGAAGGAATAATGTTGGTGCCAAAATTGATCCTTGTGGAACGCCGGAATTGATGCCAATGGTATCAGACGATACACCGTCCACCACCACGTGAAGCGATCTGCCTGAGAGAAAACTCGATAATAGATGGCATAGCTGAGGTGGTAAGCCGTATGATGGTAGTTTGTGAAGGAGTCCTTCGTGACAAACACGGTCGAATGCTTTCGATATGTCCAACGCGACAACTAGAGATTCCCCGTGTTTTTCTAATGAAGCTTGCCATAAATGGGTGACGTAGGCAAGTAGATCTCCAGTAGATCTTCGGTGACGAAGCAACATATACCTCCGAAATTGCTCAATACACGTCTAATTTACTGACCATATTACATCTAAGAAGATAACAGCAAGCAAACATTTTTTATTCAAGATAATTCAAATATGCTGCATCGAATATTAAATGTCTCAAAATCCGGTTACTTTAATTGATTTTCACAAGTGTGTCTTTTTGGCTTAGATATGTCCAGAATATTATTTCCTCAACGAATTGAGTAAGAAACCACAGAGAAAAAAGTTATGGCCATTCTGAACTATAAGAAGTGCATTGATAAGGGCCCTCTCATGTCCACAGTAAAAAGGTGTCCGTATTCGGGTTTCGCATCCCAAAAAAAAACATATATCATTATTTTTCATTCTTCAACTTTACCACCCTGTATCTCGGAAACGGAGCAATTTCTAACTGAGGTCAGTTTTACAAATCGCCTCATGTTGACATCAGGAATATGTTCTGACATTTTTTACATACCTCTCAGGGACACACTGTATACAATTTATTCAATGGAAGACTACCTCTTACATAAGAAAATCTCATTCCAAATATCAATACTTCCGCTTTATTTTTTATGTCCTACCTGATGTTCATTTGGCAGTTCACCATAGATTTCCATACCCATATAGTTCGTGCAGGAATTTACAGTCGAATGATTATGTTTGTTGTCAAGTTATAAAAGAGTGTGGTATCAAAAATATTCAGAAACTGGACGTAGACAAGATCGTGTACAAAAGATTGGTTTTCACTGATGGCAGAATAATATGAAAATATTAATATCAAGTAATTGCGATGATATTTATCAAATCCTTTCCAAGAAGAGGCACTTGAAATACTCAGAGAAATCAGCCGACAAATGAGAAAAACTTCTGTAATGCTGAAAACTGAATCAGAATCGTTCCCGAACCCTTTCCCGAAACGTCCAGACGAAAAGTTACATTCCATTAATTTTAATTTTTTTTCTTACTCCTGATATACTAAATTATTTATATTATATAGACTTTTCACAAAATGTCACTGTCTATCAGCAGGAATTGTTGTGTAATATTCCTGGAAAATAAATTTATCAGCGCAGTCGCAGTGGGAGAGATCACCTGATGGTCTGTCCTTTATACGCATATTATTTAAAAACTTTTATGATTTCAGAAACGAAGAGAGAAAACAAAAAAAATCATAATATGAATGATACTGAAATCTAATACTTGTCATATTCAAAAATACTGCTGCTCTGTATTCCTTTCAAATTCTATATTCTCAGACAACAAAATTGCTGCATCATTCTATTTCATAACTAATAATGGTGTTCAGTAAGTCAATAACTTCATGTTGTTCAAGATTATTATTTCAATCATTTTTGTTTTCAGATGATTGATACCAATAAAGATGGAGTTATCACAATAGATGAATTAATGCAGTGGTGTTCCAGAGATGAGAATTTTCTAAAATCCTTAGAAACTTTGGATACAGTATTGTGATTTTGTGCAATTGTTATCCATATATTCTATAGAAACTGTCTTCGTAATAACACGATTACTTGAGAGGAATTTTCCATCGATTTTATATGTATATCGTTAATATAAATATTATATGTATATAAAATATGTACAGTCAGTGCAAAAACATGTCGCAGTTGGTTGGTGATACCGCTTTTATAGCACAGTCTTATTGCAGAAGTGGCTAGAAATTCTATACCCGCCCATGTGCGACATGTTCAATGCATCTGGCTGTGCATGCATACTCCGTACAATCTGGCATAGACACGTATCACAACAAGTTATACAGTCCAAAGAATTAATTAGATAGATAGTCAGATTATTTTTCTCGAAGAAGTTACAATAACTCTCATAACAAAGAGTTTTGTTTACTGATGCATTTGAGTGATAGCAGCAAGAAAGAAAAATCATTATTGCGTGCAAACCAAGTGACTTGAAACCAAATTACCCCCCTGTATCTTCGATCTTATGATGTAGATTTTCCAAATTATATATATAGATTTGATGTCTTGAATGTGGAATTCAGCAAGTATAGAATTAAATATGAGATTTCTGGACAAACCTGGAGTGAATAGGCCAACAAACGATAAGACAACAATATATAAGATTCGGAATAGAATTGCATTTGAAATGATATACCAGAAAATCACCAAAATAAATACTTGAAAAAAAATCTTCTACCTGCAGATAAAAGTAGGAGTTTATTAGATTTTAACTTTGTGAATTTTCGTCTCAACGACAGAACATTTCCATGACAAGCGTGCTATATGGAATATTGGACAATATCATATTATTATCAAACCTACGTAACGAGTCAATATATATTCGATGTCAAAGTTTTGACATAACAATTTGTAAAGCAGTCTCACTGTTCCTCCAATTCCAACTGTTCACTATTTGAAGCCAAAATACTCTTTTCTTTAAAACAATCAAACATAGGCTTTTACGTTGACTATTAGACCATGTTGGTCTAACCGAAATCGTCATATTTACATATTTGATCTGACATTTTTTGATTGAATTACATCTGATTTATATACCAAATTTGATAATTTCACTTTCATCAGAATAACAACAGACATACAGGAAAATAATTGCCGGTCCAGGTCATACTTTTGTAATGTTAAAATTCGTTACAGTAAAAAATGGCATAAAATATAAGAACAATATTGATTAATGAATAAATTGAACTTCCTCAGTCCTACATGAATGGGAAATGAAAAAAAATGGAATAGTTTTGTTCGTTTTCCGATTACTGATTGAACAATTTGGCCCATAGCCTATAGCTTTGAATATAAGATAATATTTCCACAAGTTCTCACCTGTTCAATATATCCTGGATGAATTGAACAATTTCAAGGAATGCATGTAAACAATATTAAGGAATGATTATTGAGATTGAATGATTTTTTCATTGTGTGTCTTCAATATACCTATTCGACAAACGTTACCTCCGGCTACAAACTTCTCTGTTATGAATTGCAATTAGTTCATCAAGCCCTGATGTCACGCCAAAATAACGGGTGTAACAGGATCACACTCTGCATCCCTTTCTATCCGTATGTTCTGAAGATGTATAATTGATATTAGAATAACCTACTATATACTTGAAGAACGTAACTTTTTGAAATATATCTGAATGATTTTTTCCCTACACTGCTTTCCGTTTTATAGAAGATGGTACTACCGGTACTTTTGAGCTCTAAATAGTTTCATTCAACGTTTTTTCCCCGAAGGGTAAAAAACGATTATTTCAGGTCTTTCCGAGGCTTGACCCCTTTGAGATTACACCCTGTTCCGCCCCTGCGTATACATCCATACCATTTCCGCGTAGTCAGTGCTCTCAACAGTCTCAACACGCATCACGGTACTCGCGAAGCGATTTGCGCGAGTATTCATCAAAAGAGAGTTGAAGTACACACTGTACGTAGACCTCCACGTAGACGTTAACGTACGGAAAATAACGTTCACGGATTATCCTTGCATTGAGTTGAAGTCATCAGTGCCATCGTCACGTGCAAATAATTTCTTGTTTTCGGTTTGTATTTTATTCCTTTTTAATTGGTTTGATCTGAACAACAATCCGTATAAAAATGAGCAGAATCCCAAAAGATGAACTCTTCTGAGATCCAGGCTTTAATAATCTTGACTCAATGGCATATTTTGGTTAACGTACGTTGATATTCAAGGGATTCGTGAAAGTACGCAAGATAACGTACACCCGTAAGCCCACTACCAACGTAAACGTGAAAAAAACGAGAAATGCGCATGTGTACCTGTCAATTTCTATACGTTTACGTTAACGTTCATGGCAGTACTTCCACTCTTTGTTAACCTTCTCTGTGTGAGGTGTACGTCGTCAAGGAATTACCAGGGTCAAGCCTCGGCAAGACGTGAAATAATTGTTTTTTACCCTTCGGGGATAAAACGTTGGTTATTTCATGTCTGTGCCTTCAGATTGACCTCTTTGAGAAGTGTTTGGTTTCAGACGACGCGGAATAACGTACTGTGATTTCATGTGGTAACAAAAACTAGCATTTTCAAGAAAAAATATTAATTATCTTATGAGAAATTTCTACTTCTTATAGTAGAATTGGAAAAACTTTTCTTTCCGCTTCCAATTTTCATTCTGGAGTACGGCGTCAAGCGGCATCTCGTTCTCCCATCTTCAGGAAGCTACCTAATGGTTTACCCGGTGGTGTACCAATACCTGCCGCCATGAAAGCATCAGGTTTCATCAATCCTGCTATTATGGCCCTTGAAGCAGGCCCTACCATGCCTCTTACTGTGATGAATAGACTATCGAGATTATCTCTAGTCCTTATCCGCTCCTTTCAGCAGTTTCCAACCTGATTGTCTGTGAGAGCTCTTGTCTGTTTTGGATCCGAATTCCTACCACAAACTGATTCTACCTCCATATCCATATGATCTTGATCACACCGCAAAAGGGTCAAATCATGGATTCAACGACCTGATGCTAACTATAAAATCAGAGCTAACCGACAAAAGGGTTGAAACATACTTCTCTCGACCACCGGTTATAATTTCTTCCATGTAATGAGTTCCTTTACATCCCAAATGGATTTTTCGTATATACATATATATAACTCTTCATTAGCATACGAAGTGCTCTCTAGAGAAATAAAAAATAAGCAAAAAATAACACAAGTGTCACAAATGACAAAAGTCCTTCAAAAGACAGAAACAGGTACTATAATAGGTAATACATTTCAAAAGTTTCTAGGTACAATATTAAATATCTACTAGATGTTGTGTTTTGAACCGGTTTGTTGACCTCAATGGCTCTGAGCATATGTTTCACAAATGGGTAGCCCGAGATATTATTATGTTCTTTCATTCCTGATTCAAATTTCTCAACCTTATGCAGGAATGCGAGGTATTGTGCAACATCTTCTGGTCTGGGATTATTTGCCTCGATGCCCTTTTGCTCAGCCATTTTTCCAAAGCACTAATAAGGGAACAGCTCCTCCAAGATTTTTCGAGAAGACTTACGTTTTCCCTGGACCAGTCAGCACTGCATCCAGACCACCCCGTACCTTCCAGGCCTCCAAATGCAGCTCTCTAGCATTTGGGAGCGGCGAGTTGTTTTGAGCATCCTACAAATGATGCTGAAGGTTCCGAATTTGACATTGGCGCTAGAGCCTGCGACTTGAGATCCGGTCTCCTAAACACCCTTTCCCATCTTGGTTCTATTAGGATGAATGTCCCTTTTCCTGTATTGAGATGACTGAGTACTCGGGGAATCAATGACGGGGAAGGTAATATCCAAGCAAGAGAAAAATCCCATTGCCTGCTGAACGCGTCCGTGAAGCTGGATGCAGAATTAGATCTATGGTCTCTCGCATCTCTTGTCGCATAAGATGGCACCACCTTCGGTATGTTCGCGGCAAATAGGTCTATCTGAGGAATGCCCCACTTTAGGAAAATTGTTCTCACAAGTTCCGGTCTGCCAGTGATCTGTTCCAGGATAGGCTGTCTGCCACACAAGAGTCTCGAGATCATACCCGTGTGTTCACCGAACACGCCCGATCGTTCCCTAACCCTAAGCGGTGGGGAAACGTAAACTACGTTATGAATATTGGCGCGTGCCTGAATTATTTTGGAGTCAAATTTGTCAATTTTAATGTACTTCGAAACGGAACACTAGTAGTTGTGCCTTCTTGTTTTACATATATTATAGGTAGACATCAAATCAATAAACATAGTGCTCTCGCCATCGGTATTTGCTGAACTTCGCTATGGGAAAAATGTTGGGATGAAGAATGATCTATACAGGGTGTATCTAAATAATACCGAAATAATTCAAGGGATAATTCCTTGTGATAAAATATGATGAATAAAGGTCATATAAACATGTGTCCTAAACTTGCTTCGTTTTCGAGGTACAGGTTACGTCCTGATTTCGAATCCGAAGTGATTTTTAACCTATCTTGCCTCCTGATATCATTTTCCGGAAATGTTGGTGGGTCCATGACCAGAGCAGTGTTTTTCACTGAAGATTACCTCACTTTGGTCATAGTTGGTATATATATATATATCTATCGCTCCTTGAAATTGAACAGTTACGTTAGATATACACGGGTTGATATTCCATTATAGAAGTGACATGCACTTTGTTTATATTTTTAAATACATCCAGTGGGATTGAATTTTATTTTATGTTGAATATTAGAGTGTGTTTTTTTATGTGATATATTTGTTTTGTTTATTTCAAATATATATATATTTTTTTTAGTAGGCATACTAGTACTTCTTTTATATAATTCTGAAATCTGATCCACCCTGTATTTGTTTCAATTAAATGGCATCAGTAAATAGTAAATAGAATGTTAGGACAGGGACACATGTAAGCCATTTTGACAAATCAATATAGGTATTGTATAGTTTCGATACAAAAAAAATCTCGATTTTTCACATTCTACGTATATAGGTATACCTTGAGCTTGATCAACGAAATCATA